CCTCCCAGTGATAAATCTCCGACCCCTCAATGCGTTCCTCCGCTATCAGCATTTTCAGATGGAGGACATCCATTGCCTCGGAGACCTCCTCCGTGTATCAGATTGGTTGGCCAAACTGGATCTAAAGGACGCGTATTTCATGGTTCCCATTGCAGTGGAACACAGAGACTTCCTCCACGTCACCTGGCACGGGAAACGGTGGCATTTTACATGTCTACCGATCGGTCTTTCCTCAGCTCCTTGGTGCTTCACCAAGATCACGGGACCGGTGGTGTCCTTCCTCCGTACTCATGGCGTGCGTCTAATTATTTATCTGGGCGACATTCTCATCATGTCCCAGTCCCTAGGTCAACTGCAGATCCACGTGGAGTGGACGGTCAACCTGCTGCAGAACTTAGGGTTCATGATCAACTGGGACAAGTCAATCTTGACCCCAGCTCAATCGATAGAGTTCTTGGGGTTCAAGGTGGATTCCATTCAACAATTCCTATATCTCCTGGAATCCAAGATGAAAGCCATTCAAAAGAAGCTTCAGCGAGCTCTTCGAGTGTCAGATTTGTCCATCAGACAATTGGCGATAATTATCGGTTTACTCGCAGCCTCCATTCAAGCGATCTTTCCGGGTCCATTACACTACCGAGCCCTCCAACGGCTCAAGGGATCGCACCTCTGCTCAGGTCACTCTTACGAAGCCAGGATACAGCTGGACAACGAATCCAGGGATGAACTGGTGTGGTGGTTGGCACACATGGAGGCTTGGAACGGATGAGCCATTTTCGGATTCATACCAGACGTGGTGATAGAATCCGACGCCAGCTTACACGGCTGGGGGGCGCGATGTGGCAACGTTTCCACAGGAGGCAGATGGTCTGAAATAGAGAGATCCTTACACATCAACTGCCTGGAACTCTTGACAGGTGCTTTCGCGATTCGCAGCCTTACCCCAGGTCGAGCGAATTGCTGCGTTCTCCTCAAGATGGACAAAGTGTTGTCGGTACGTTATGTAAACCACTGGGGGGGAACCAAATCCAAAATGTTGGCTCTATTGGAGAAAGATTTTTGGCAATTTTGTTTGTACAACAAAATCTCCGTGACGGCGGAACACATTCCGGGTCTGGACATTTCGGGGGCGGATTGCAACTTGAGACATTTGAGAGACTCAGGAGATTGGCACTTACACCTTTCGGTGTTTCAAGGTCTAGACAGGTTATGGGGATGATTCGTGATAGACTTGTTCGCATCCTGCCTGAACACCCAGTTACCGGAGTTTTACAGTTGGAGACCAGACTCGGCAGCGGTGGCGACAGACGCTTTCCTTCAGGAGTGGCCGGCGGGCCGTCTGTATGCCTTTCCCCCATTCTCGAAGTTGGTTCACGATTGTTCCCTGACACTAATCACCCCTCTGTGGAGATCTCAACCATGGTTCCCACGCCTGATGGAGTTGTCAATAGATTATCCACGGTTCATCCCGAGTTTTCAGGAACTCCTTCTGGATCCGGATGGGAACTCACACGGACTGGTATTACAGAACCAACTGCCTCTGATGGCGTGGCTCCTTTCAGGGGACCTTGGGATGTCCCAAACGTTCCACGAGCGACTCTCCTACTCCTCGATAACGCCTGGGCTCCAGGTACAAGAGCGGCCTATCGCGCTTCATGGAGTTCGTGGTCTGGTTGGTGCATGGAACGGTCAGTGGATCCCTTATCTGCCCCTCTCCATATGATCTTGGAGTTCCTCACACACATGTTCGATTCGGGTAAGGCTTATCGCACTATCAACCTTTTCCGCTCAGCAATTTAGGCTGGACATAGGGGATTGGATGGTTCGCTCAGAGGCAGACATCCTTTTGTGTGTCGCCTTCTCAAAGGTATTCGACCTCCTAAGACTCGATTTTCTGTGTTCTGGGATGTCAACGTGGTGTTACAATTTTTGTCGTCATGGTACCCGAACCAAGACTTGATGCTTAAACAAATCTCTTCTAAATTAGTGATGCTTCTCTGCTTGATTTCATGTAAGAGGGTGTCTGACGTCAGGGCCTTTGATTGGGACGCCATTACTTTTACCCCTGAGGGTATTTCGTTCAACATATCCAGAAGGACTAAATCGGCATCCAAATCTTTTGTATACCCTAGATTCTCAGGGAGTCCGGCACTATAGCCGGTGGATTGTCTAAAGGTATATCTGGATGCTACACAACCTATTCGTTGATTGGAATTGCACCCCTTATTCATATCATTTAGGTCTCCATATCGGCCTGTATCCACCCCGACTGGCTCGTTAGGTACGCTGTCTTCTATCTTTAGCAGGCGTTGACACTTCTATCTTCACGCCTCATTCAGTGCGTGGAGCCATGGCGTCGAAAGCTTCTGCCATCGGCTGTCGTCTGGAGGACATTCTGCGGGCTGCGGATTGGTCTCGGGAGTCGACCTTCCATGACTTTTATTTCAGACCGATCAACCACATCGCATCTCAAGTGATAGCTCAGCTTTAAACTTGCATAATATGAGCCTCCGTGTCTTTAATAAAATTCCCATATTTTACTATTAACATGACGTAAAGTCATGATTTTATTAAAGACACGGAGGCGAGTATTATTCCCACCCACCCTCCCGGTGTTGGGTCTTTAGATGAGATGCGGTTAGATTTTTCAGGTATGTTACTATCTGGTCTGTTATTGTGTCCTACGTATTTATTTTATTTTTACTGTTGATGTTTGGTTTTATGTGATTATATACTAATAGTATTTTCTATATTATAGGTTGAATTCCTAAGAAGCCATTGACATATTTGCTTGGTAAATCTTCAGTTTGGAGTTTGGTTATTACCAAATTTCTCTCTCTCTTTTAGCTTGAAGTTATCGTTTTGTTCCGGTTTTCCTATTCTTGCCGGATGTGATGTCGTTTCGTGTTTCCTGGTGTTCGGTTTTCGCAAGAAAGAGGGGGATTGTGGGAGACACAGGCCTTTTATAGTCACTTCCTCTGTTATGTGATTGGTTACCTGTGTGCCTATACAGTTTTTTCTTTCATTTTGATAATATTTATATTCCTCTATCTTTGCTGCTGAGGGAATAAAGAAAGAGTTATGCATAATATGAGCCTCCGTGTCTTTAATAAAATCATGACTTTACGTCATGTTAATAGTAAAATCGGTGAATTTGTTGTAACATAGTTCACCTAGCAGGTATTCTAGTTGAACTAAAAACCCCAACACAAACCTCCTCCCAGCCAGAAGATTTAAATAAAATATACACTGTTCTGAGCTAATAAAACAAATCCATCAATGCATTGCACTCCCAGTCTTTTAAATACAACTTAGAACGGTGCTGACAGGCAGATGGGGTTGTTTATAATAAACACTCCTTAATATAAATCATAAATTTCAGGAATTTAATATTATTGGAAGACCTCCTCACCATAGAGAAAAAGCCTATAGGGCACATTTAACAAAGGTTTATAAAAAGGGCAGGCTCTAGGACATCAAGGGGTTTTGTCCCTCGTCCTTCATGTGATTATTGATAATTAACCTGTAACCTGTAGCCAGTTGATTGGACCATATTTATGTTGGGGAGGAACAAAATAAATGCCAAAGGTTCTACAAACCTTGCACTATTTGTAGTATGTGTCTTGAGGCTTTCTGGATTTTAATACCGGACACCTAAAGAGACAAATGGTAATAATGGGTATAATGCTACAATGTGTACCCTGATAATCATATTGAACAATTATATACTGTAACAGTATATAATTCTAATTGCTAAAAACGGATGATAGGCCTGGATTGTGAGCAGACCTATAGAATGGAGAAACTAATTAAACATAGGCTACATTCTAGAAAACAACAAAATGCAATTGGTAGTGTAAATACTTGGTTACTATAGGGAGTATGAGTAACCGTGATCCTGCGGTGAACTTTTCCCTATGACAGATGTCAAGATGGTTTAGTGAGGAATAGCTTATAATAAATAATAACATGCATACAGTTATTACCTGAATGTAACATAATGTTTGTTGATTTGACGTGGTATGTCCAAATGAGGGCCCGAGAAAATAAATGGCAGTATTGTTTGGTATGTTGAGATGGCGAGGCCATTAGAAGGCCGGTTGTGATTGTATGGAAATGGTCATAACATATAGTGAACTGAAGTAGCAAGACTTAATGAGGGCCTGTTATAGTAGTGATACGCAACGTTTGGTAAATCAAAGTAGCAAGGTTAAAAGATAGTCAGATATAAACGTATGGAACTGAATGTAACGTGTTGATTGTTCATGAGATTAAAGTCCAATGAGGCCTAATGTAGCGTAACATAATGTTTAGTAAATCGATTAGCAAGGCCATATGAGGGCCAAGTGTAATTGTGTATTAGAAGTAAGCCGAATATGGGCCGAGAGTGACTGTACTGTGTGCTACATAGTTCAATAAGAGTATTGTAACTGTATAGAATAGCTATGTGGAAGATGAACATATTTGACAAACCAGTAGGCATTGGATAATAGATGAGGTGATTGCGCACACAATGGTATTAGATGCTCTTGATATATGATAATTGGTATATCCTATACAGTGTAAACATAAAAAACTATCATAGGGCAATATGTGCACGTAAAATGGCAGATAAAAAATTAATTGGAACACTCACAATGTTTAAAGCCCTTATAAGTCGGCGCTAAACTCTGCAGACACTTCATCAACAAAATGATGCAAAGGTATATTCCTCGCCCGATCCTCCAAAACCAGCAGATCTCTTTCATTTGGAAATAAGGAACCAGGCGAGTATAGTTCAAAACTTTTAATGCAAAAGAACCAACACAACGCGTTTCGAGGTCTTCCTCAGGTGCATAGAACAATACATATGGACATGTTCTTATATACCCTAACAAATTAATATGAACGATACAGGTGTGTTGATTGCAATAAAACCCACCCCTGTCTGTATATGGACTAATCATTACAATTTCCAGCCCCAACAAACATGGCAGATCGGCAATGTTTCCTGCATGGGTGTGTTTGACCTTCTCAAAATGGCTACACGTCCACTCCGGATCATCGTGGTCACGTGGTACTGGCTTCCGATGACGTACTTCCTGTGTGTCTGATGTTTCCTTTTCGACTGTATCCCATCCTTCCTACAGACGTCCTTCCTACATGGCAGCTGTTTGCCTTGTTCTGTCATTAGCACAAAAGTATCCCTTAAGAAATATTGCTACACACCTATAACCTATGTAATAAATGTGTCCATGAAGTCCCAGTCTTGTCACGGTCATCATTACTCCCATATTTGGGTCACAGAATACCATGTTTGTTAAGGGTAGGATAAAAAGCAGATGATAAATGAAATTAATAAAAAGCTATCAAGCAATACAACACTATAAAGACATTACTACACATATATACACTTCTGTAGATCTAGAACAGCACAGTTAAAGGAAGGAGGATAAATACCTGATATAGGTGGCTTGGACGCTGGACGAGATGGCGGCGTAGACTGAGAGCTCCCCGCTGGCTAAACATGAGTACCCGCCTAAATAGCACTTGAGAAAGCAAGAATGGGTATATTGCACAAGACCACACAGGGTAACCACCCGACCAACACCCCATGGGGATCCCAATTGACGGGAATGCGCCAATTCCTCACCTCACAAGCCGACCAAGCCTCTCAGGCCTCAACGGATTCGGAGGCCTTGGGCCTATCCCACTCAGCCTCACCAGGCGGAAGCCTACTTCCTAACGCCTCGCAAACTCCTAATGCACAGCCACTGCACCTGGGAGGGGGGATGTGACGGGGGAATAGAGGCACAAGATGTCGCACAAGATGACCCCAACCACCTACCCAGACACGCGAGATGGGGATAGGACTAAGTAGATACTTGATTACCCTAGGGAAACGGGCATACCATACCCCTTGGCCCATGGAGGGCTCGCACACATGCTAACAAGGCATAGAGACACCCGAAGGCACATAGGAGGGAAGCAGGGGACACACAGTAGCCTACCTGGGGGGACAAGGTCGTGAATACTAAGTGAAGGTGCCACCACGGGAAAGTGAGGCAAACTTTTTTGATTTATCTCTGTGGGAATGTTACACGTTACTGTTTTGAATAAGTTATGTTTTCACATGTTAAGGTTAATGATCTGAGAGCTGTACCAATCCTCAGCAACGATGACACCCATAGACCCACAAATGAATAGAACCCATTACCCATGCAGGCCCTAGGGCCACCACACCTCTAGGCGAGGAAAACCGACAGGTCGACAACACATCAACACAGAGGAGCCACCAGGGGCGGCCGCAGACCCCATCCATACACAAAGACAAAGACAAAAAAAGGACAGGAACACCGACAGGAAACCAGGCGCTACCTTAGACCATAGAGGACACCCGGATGACAAAAGTGGCAAACTCCTAGCCTCGATACTGAGAAAACAAAGACAGGGAACGTACATCGACAGAATTAGGGACAAAAGAGGGAAGCTACACCGCCTCCCGACTGATATCCTGACGGCAATAAGAGATTACTACCTGGATCTCTATACGCTACCTCAACCACAAACCGAAACGGCAAAAGCGCAAATACGGGAGTCCGTTCAGACATATCTCACAAAATATCCGATGCCGACCCTAGATAGGGAGATATCCATGCAAATAGACGACCCAATTACACTGGACGAACTTGCACAGGCAAGTAAGCAAACTAAAGTGGGCAAGAGCCCGGGCCCAGATGGCCTCCCAGCAAAATACTACAAGTCCTTTGCAGAGGACCTTTACCCCCGATGGTGGAGGCCTTCAATGTAATAAGAGAAGGACACCACATCCCCAAACAAGCCCTGACAGCCCATATAACTATCATTCCCAAGGACGATAAAGACAGCGAATATTGCGGGAACTACAGGACAATTTCGCTTATAAACTGTGATATAAAGCTACTATCCAAAATCCTGGCAACGCGGCTGACGACACACATCCCCTTATTGGTCCACCCGGACCAAGTGGGATTCGTAACGGGACGCGAAGCAAGAGACAATACCATCCGGACACCTGCCCTCATGCATGGGAGGGGAGGGGACAAGAGATGCCTTCTCCTGCTGTCGACAGATGCAGAGAAGGCCTTCGATAGGGTCCAATGGACCTATCTATACGAAACTCTGAAACACATAGGGCTGGGACCTCACCTACGACGCTGGATAGGGGTGCTGTATCACGAACCTACGCACATGTAGTGGTTAACGGGGAACTCACCGAGGCATTTCCCATATGCAACGGCACCAGACAAGGCTGTCCCTTGTGGCCGCTACTCTTCGTGTGTGCCTTGGAGCCATTTTTAACACACGTCCGACATAACAAAGACATCACTGGCCTAAAGACCGGCAACATACACCACAAGGTTGCCGCATTTACGGACGACCTGCTGTTTGTGGTGACCAATCCAGAGATCTCCCTCCCCAACATAATAAAGGCCCTTCAGACGTTCGGAGGCATCTCCAATCTAAAAATAAACCACACCAAGTCATACATTCTCAATGTCAGCGTACCGGCTGCACGTGCCAAACCCCTACATCATAGCTTTCCCTTTCAGTGGTCCGACCATCGGATCAGATACCTGGGAATTTGGCTGACCAAGAAGAGCGGAGATCTGTTCCGAGAAAACTTTACCAACACGCTACAGACGTTCCAAAGGGAAATGAGAGACTGGTCATTCCCACACATATCGTGGTAGGGGAGAGTCCAGGTAGTAAAGATGAACTTTCTCCTCCGCCTACTATACATCCTTCAGGCTATACCTATCACAATACCCAAAACATTATTTAATACCCTTAGAACTGCAATGACTAAATATATATGGAATAACCGAAGACCCAGAATAAGACTAACCACATTAATGCAACCCAAGGACAGAGGGGGTCTAGACCTCCCTGACTTCACACACCTCCAGAGGGTGGTGGAAAGGTCGAAAGATAGAGTGAACAAGCTATGGAAGGTGGTGGAGGAGACAGAAGCAGGTAGGCCGATCTCAGAGCTACCCTGGGGGTGGGACCCCAAGAGCATGGGGGAAATGTCCATATACACAAAACACACACTAGGCATATGGTGGAAAGCTGCAAAAGCAGGGAACCTGGCACCATACCCTTCCCCGCTCCTACCACTGACCCATAACGAAGACTTTCGACCGGGGTTGGACCCAAGAGCATTTAAAGATATTCTCCCAACCCCATCACCACGCCTACACCACATAATACGGGAGGGGAAATGCAGACCACTGACAGACTTAGTGGGAGAGACCCCTCCGACCTTCCTGCAACACTTCAAATATGCTCAGCTGACCAAATATGTCCACACCCTGCCCCAGGGACCAGTACTCAATAGAAATCAAACCACGTTCAAAAAGCTGTGCCAACCCAGTCCAACACGGAATCTCCCTACTGTACTCCACACTCCAAACAGAGACCCCCACAGAGAAACCCCTATTCATAGGAAAATGGGAGACAGTCCTAGACAGATCATTCACAGACGCTGAATGGGACTCCATCTGCTACTTCACACACCACTGCTCGGTACACAGCAGAACCCAAGAGACAGCCTATAAGCTATTGACACATTGGTACAAAACACCAAACTTCCTACACAAAATTGACACAGACCATACCGAAGTGTACTGGAGGTGTGAGAGAGAGGTGGGCACCACAATACACATTTACTGGGAATGTGACATGATCAAACCCTACTGGGCAAGGATACATGAGATGTTAGAGAAGTTTTCCGACGCGCACCCCCCCTGGAACCGGCCGAAATGCTACTACACCATATATCCATCCCAAGATCAAAGTATGAGAAATCCATGACGGTCAGAATACTAAACGTAGCCAAACAACTCCTTCCCCAATTCTGGAAACAAAAGATAACCCCCTCCCTTAAAGTCTGGTTCGACCAGATGGAGGAGCTCAGATCTATAGAGGAGCTGAATATGTCAGCCTCGGTAACCCCCACGACGTATACAGACATATGGACACACTGGATCTTAGTGATGGCAAAGGAGGAATTTCAACGGAGACTCCGACATAACAATTACACTGACAGAGAGAGATAGGATCCTATAAAAATAAAAAAAAGATTACGGAACCCAATAAGATACAGAACATAGAAGACAATAGATACTGGACACCCAATACCCCTCCCCCCCGCACTACCACCCGTCTCCATCACCCCCAATGTTCATGCCTATAAATTGCAACCTTAAGGACACGACAGAGACTAGAAAACAACACCACAACGCAAAAAGACACACTACGGGAAAATACAACGTAGAGGCCTGAAACAAACAACAGAGCCTGACAGACGCAGGGAAGCAAAGGGAAATGAGACCCAACCGACATAGAACATCCAGCAAAGGGATCAGCTAGCCCTACTATACCCCAGATACATACTCAGCGATAGACCGATAGGGTCACAAAAGAAATCACACAATACACGCAGATACTGGCTAGAAGATGGGGGAGGGACCGAATACAAAAGTAAAACACACAGGTACCACGGCGATAGCCACCCTGACAGACCCCACAAAAACAGAGCTACCATAGAGACCTGTGTGTACCTAGAGAACACAGGGTCTGCGAACCCAAAATACAATGTATAGGGACAGAAAGGGAGGGCCCTATCCCACCAAACTACCAAGGGATGAAAACGAGATCTCTAGAAGGGAAAACGTAGACTGAGACCCAGCCCAAAGGTCATATTGAAAAGGTTCTTACTCATGAAAACAAAAATGTATGGGACCTGCGTGTCCGCCGAACATGTGGGCCTGCGAGCTCGAACCTACTTGTACGTAAACTAAACCTAATGCAATCCTATGTCATATGAATACAGGCGAATCTGAGGCCTGCGAACCTCAATGTACACTCCTAAATGAAAAACAAATAAAAATATATTTACAAAAAAAATAAAATAAAAATACCTGATATAAATTACTTATAATCAATAAGTAAAAAAATAAATTAAAAACACTATTCCCTCCCCTCCAGTTTGCATCAATTTCTTGAATAGCCATGAATTCCATTTCTTTGGGGTTAGAGTTATGTGCTTCTGAAAAAATCCAATTTTAATATTTCTAATATGCTCGCCAATACGTGTTTTTAGTGGTCTAGACGTTTTCACTATGTACCGAAGACCACATGTACATTTCAATAAATATATTACATTTTTAGATTCACACGTAATGAAAGATTTAATGTTAAAATCCTTTTTCGTTACTTCA